GGTAGTCTCGGGACAGGGCGCGGAGGACTCACGAAGTGACGACGAGGGGTGAGTGTCCCATCCACACCGTCTTGCGCTCGTGAACTTGAACTGACGCTGCGTGCAGCGGTGACGACGACGACAAAAAAGACGACTAACTTATCTCTGTAGAGGGCACCATAGACTTGCTTCTTTTAATACCTACTTAGTGTCTTCCACGCCGCTGCTTGGACAAGGCTGGAATGAAAATGCTACTGATGATGATCGGTCGGCCCGAGTGGCATTGCGCAGGCATGGTCCTGCGGACGAACCTGAGGACCCTTACTGCGACACAGGGACAGTGATGCTTGATGCAGAGGGAGCGGGCGACCGCAGCTGCACCGAACTTCCTACATAAACTGTGGACTCTGGACTGCGCCGCTGCAGTTGCAAATGTGGATAGAAGTGAGGATATGTCTGGATATGTTCGTCTATGGCGGTCGAACTACATAGAGACCTTCCTTATCGGGGACATCGAGTGACCTCAGTGACTCTGACGAACCGGCGAAGCGCAACGGGCGCTTCACTGTCCCGTACTTACTCTGACCCAGCCACTCCGCTGCTTTCCCCACATCTTACCCTTCTCGTGCAAACAACCTCTACTCGCTGTAATCTAGACGACGCACGACCTCTGACGCACACCACCGACGATGATGGCCGGAATCATGAGCTACTTTGGAGGGCGGCGTGACCCGAAGCAGTCGTCGCGCGACGCGATAGTCACCCTCCGGCAGCAGCTGCAGATGATCGAGAAGAAGGAGGAGTACCTCCAGAAGAAGGTAGACGAGGAGATGAAGAAGGCGAGGGCGAACGCTGTCTCGAACAAGGCCGGTGAGTCGCCCTGTCCGCCTGTCTTGCTCAGCCTCCCGGGGGCATATCTGGGTCCTCATGCTGAACTTCGGCTGGCCTCCCCTTCATCCTCGGACCATCTCGCACACTGTGGTGCTTTGTATGACGAATATTCTGGCCGTGTCATGCAGCTGCGACGGCGGCACTGCGACGGAAGAAGGTCACGGAGCAGGAGCTCGAGCGGTTGCAGAACACGCGCTTCCAGCTCGAGATGCAGGTCAACACGCTCGAGTCTGCGAGCTTCAACGCAGAGAACATGAACGCGATGAAGAAGGCCGCAGGCGCACTCAAGGACATTCACGGCAAGCTGTGCGTCCTCCTCTTTGTTCCCTAACCCCACCTACGCCCGATACTGACGGTTTCGTGACGCACAGCTCAATCGACAAGGTCGACCAGACGATGTCGGAAATCCAGGAGCAGACGCAGCTCGCGAACGAGGTCTCCGAGGCCATTTCGTCCAGCACATATACCGGGGTCGAGTTCGACGACGTACGTCATACTGCCCGCCTGGTCGCTTAGTGTGTGTGTGGTTGACGTGCGGATGCCCATACCTTCAGGACGAGCTCAAGCAGGAGCTTGCGGATCTGGAGCAGGAGGAGCTCAACGACAGGCTCATGGCCGACCAAGTTCCCATACACCATCCCGCAGGACCAAGCCGAGTCGAAGCCAGTGCGTTCCATCTCACGGTTCCTTTCTCGTATATCGGCACATTGACCATGGCTTCGTGCACAGGACACTCAACCGCGGTCGAAGACGACGAAGAGGCACAGCTCAAGGAGCTACAGGCCGCATTGGCCATGTAGTCGTACCGCCGGCCGTGCCGTCCCTGCTGGAGTACTCCTCTGTCACCTGGACACTCGTATCTTGTCTCTCCCGCCGCCCATCCTCCTCCGCCTTTCTTTTTGTGCCTTCCTTCTTGCCTAATCATTGACACCTGTGTTAGTACATTATCATTCCGGGCTTTCCTAGCGTTCGACCATGTTCTATTAGTGCTCTCCACCCCCACGATCAAGCGATCTCGCAATGTACCCATTCCCGCTCGCAGACTGCTATATATCACGATCCAAGGATAGAATATCCATGCGGATTTGCGTCGTTACTGATGCAGGCGAGAAGTTGGAAAGCCGACCAGAAAAGGCACACTGGCAGCTCCCAGAAAGGGCGAGAAGCATGGCGCTTATTGTTGCGGCAGCATAACCACAGTGAATGCATACACGACCCTAACGTTTAACTCCGATGACCGGTACATATGTACTCTACAGGAAATATCACGGTCTCATGCGAAATCACAAGCTGGGACCCACAGACTCGCCAGAAAGCCTCAGGAAGGGTCCATCACGACGACCGAGAGTGTTGAATGATGTTCAGGCCAAACCGCTATGTACGTACATATATACAGGTGGCGGCGGGCCGCTTGTAAGCGATTAGTGGGCTACTATTAGCTCAAAGCTCAATGCGTGCAGCGGAAAACATGATGCATGCGTCGTCGGGATGGGGTTTGGGGCAGTAGCAGCAAAACAGACACAGACACAGACTTCTGTGGAACTGGAACGTGGTATGTATGATGGTATGGACAGGGGACGGGGTGCGTGCGACGAAGCGATACGAGTGGGTTGGCGAACGGGGAACCGGATGGCGGATCCGGGTGCTGGAATATGTATGGGGGGAGTCCGGGAGTGGGACGCGGAAATAAGGGTGGGGGGGAAGGGTGGGGAAGGGGGGAGATGCAGTAAGTTGATGAATAATTAGCTGAATCGACAATAGTTCTTTCAACGACGCGACATTATAAACGAAAGGAACACCTCAACGGGGCCAGATGTCCGTACACCAGGAAAAACGTGGGGGATGGCATCGCCGGTCGTCAACTTCAGAACGTCCTCGCACACCTAGCGCATGCATCTCGCGCGTGCCGCACGGTCCGAAGGGGAACACACGCGGACGCGGCGAGGAGCGCGCATGCGAGGGAGACGGAAGGGTCATGAGAAACCGCGGATCCCGAGTACGCGCCGGACGTCGCTGGTGAAGCGAAGGGAGTCAAGGACAGGGAGAAGGTCGAGCAGGGCTTCGTCGTGCGGATCGTGGGTCCAGCCTTCTATTGGTATCCCGTTCGCTGATTCGCCGTACAGGTCAGTCTTCGGGCGACCAGACAATCCCAGAGGTGGGGGCGCACCTTCGTTAATGACATAACACACAGGCGAGTTGTCTATCAGGCAGACTCTTGAGAGATCTTGATCGACTATCGATAGGTCCTTGGTATAGGACCCATTCGGGAGCTGCGTACATGACTACATCGGCGCTCAGTCAAGGTTTCGGGGTGGGCTGTCAGAGGACGCTGGACACGCACCTCACGGAACAAACGACGGCCCAGAATACCGCGCCCGGCATCCAGCCAGTCAATGACAGGATCTGCGTATTCCTGCATCGAGGCGGTGAAGATAACGAGTGTATACCATTGTGAGACCTGAGGGGCATATTGTCGGTAGGCAGGAGAGAGGACAGCAGCCACACAAGGCTACGCACCTTCCGAAGGAAATAATCCACAAACGGCCGCTTGTACACATGGTAGAGCGTACTGCGCCCGCCCAGGACGACCTCAACCGTGTACCCTGCGCCCTTATTCCTGCCGCCAAAGCCGAGCAACCCAGATCCGCCCGCGGAAGGTATTGGTCGTGACGTAGAGTGTATCAATGTCTCGTCCAGATCGAGCACAAGTGTCTTCTGCTGATGAAACGGAGTCTGCTTTGCAGGTGGCGTAGGAGTCACCGAGCGTGCGCGAGTAGCTGGAGGCGTTAGCGTGGTGGAGACAGACTTGGAGTCCGAGATCGAGAGAGAAAGCGAGAACGGTTTCTCTGACACGGTACCTGCGGGCAGCGGAGGTGGTGGCTTGGACAGTGGCGGGGACGGCGACTGGGACAGGGGTGAGGAGGTGTCGGGCTGGGACAGCGGCGATGGGATTGCGGGCTGATATGGAGGTGGCTGCGAAGAATCTAGTAATACAGATGGGGGCGGCGACTTCTCGTCTCTACTCTCGTCCTCGGTGTCCTTCTCCTCCTCATCCGAGTTCTCGTCTACCGCCGTGTCTTCTACCGGGAGGCCAGGGGCAGCAGCGGGCCTCGTGAAGGACCGCAGAGTCACAAGGAAGGCATGCCAAAGCTGCAGGATGATGCGCACGAAGAGCAGGTGCCGAAAGGGCGACCAGTCTCCGCTCTTGGGACGGATGGCCTGGCCCTTCTCAGTTGCAGAGACGGAAGGGCGCCGCGATGAGGGCCGAGATGGGGAAGGCTTCCGCGATAGAGCAGGCGCGAGGAGAGAAGAGGCAGCAGCAAGGATGCTCGGGTTGACCTCGGCGGGGGACGAGTAGGACCGCTTCAGGAACGAGCCTGCGGAGGAAGTCGAGGGCTGAGGAACCTGGAAGGATCTCGTCGAGCCCGAGCGTTTGAGACGAGTGTGACGCTCTCCGCTGAATGCAAAGGACGAATGCTCTGTGGCAGGCGTGCTTGGTGGCGTTCGGGGCGAGGCCAAGACATCGAATTGGCGGGAGAGGTACGAGAGGGAGTTCATGGGCGTGAGGCCGACGCCGAAGAGGGCGGCCTCGAGGAGGATGGGGACGGCGAGGGCGAGGAGGTGGGAGGAGGACGAGGAAGGCCGGAGAGAAGGTTGGTGAAGGCAGTCGACCGTCCGCTGCGGCTGAGACCACGGGCGCGCGTAACGTGAGCGGAACTGTCTCAGCCACTCTGCTCCCATCGTACGTTCGTCGCGCGGGGGTTGACGTTGCTCGACCTCCTCCGCTGCCCCAGCCTTTCTATATGTCTTGTATTCCCTGCGCTCCCCCAGCCAGCCTCGACTCTTTCCGCCGATCCGTCCTCCGAGCTCTCCCTCCGTCTCGAAACGTACAGAGAGCATCGATCGAGATACACGTGCTACCCTCCTCCCTCCAACGTGCGACCCATGTACCAATCTCTGTACACGCGCTGCCGTCCATGGCCTCCAGATAAGCCATCGTCTTCTCCAGCTCCGGATCCGGGGTCTCTTCTTGAGTGTTTACTTCCCTCGTGCTCTGACTCACGGTATCCCAACCCCGGGAACGAAAAACCAGCACCGCGGCAGCCACGTTCGATCTGAGCTAAAATATTAGGCCTCACCGTGAGTCGAACACGGGACCCTGCGATCTGCAATCGCATGCTCTAACCACTGAGCTATAAGGCCTTAAGAAAGGCGGGTGCGGCACGTTCCATATCAGTTTGGTTAGTTGCATTTGCCGCAGTAACTATCACTGTGTGTTACAAGTACTGCTCAGAGCAAGTATCGGAAACCCTTCTCCGGGATGCCCTTCTCTCGTTCCTCTTCCTCGAGCTGTCTGTTCAGCTGGGCAAGGTGCAGCCTGAATATGTAGCACATCGCAATGCTACACCCCGCTGTTGCGATGCAGATTGCATACGAATTGCGATAGGTCGGGCCCCACGCGCTCGGCCAGACATATCTGTTGCAGCAACGTTTAGTCAGTAGCGGTTTCAGCGTCGATAACTGTACTCACGATCCGGCGACGTTGCCGGTCTGCGAAAGGGCATTCACGAGAGCGACTGCGACGGCACGCTTCGATGGTGGCCGCGGAAAGGAGTTGCTGACCCAAGTGTAGAGGACGACGAATCCAGAGTATGAGTTGGCCATGAGGAACCTATAGGGGAGAGGAATGTAAGTCTTACCCGGAAGTGAGGATGAAGTTCGAAACGCACAGCGAGACGTATCTTGCGGCAGTGTTCATGGTGCATATGGCTATGATGAACCCGACAATCCCTCCAAGCGTAGGTCCAGCGATATGGTAGAACCTCTCGCCAGTCTTGTCAGAGTGCCTGCAGGACAGGTGTCAGTGTACGGCGAGAGGGGAGTATAGAGTGTACTGACCTGGACACGATGAAGGCCATGATTGCGGTGAAGACGAATGGAGGTGCACACAGGAGCAACGTGACGGTAGGATTAAACCCCATCGTTGCACTGAGCGTCGGAAAGTACGCGTTGAAACTCAACGCGACAACCTGGCTCGTCATCGCGACCGCCATCCACCACACCTTCCAGTCCGTCACGGCCATCCACAACCCCGCGACAGGCCCGCCCGCCTCGGTTTCGCCCTCGTCGCCCACCCCCGCATCCTCCGCCATTCTCCTCTTCGCAAGCCTCCGCTCATCATCACTGAGCCACGACGTCGTCGCGGGGAAGTCCGGCAGGATGAACATCGCACATATCGCGACAAAGATCGTCATCGCGCCCTCGATGTAGAAGAGCCAGCGCCACGCGGCACGGCCAAGCTTCCCGTCCATGCCGTTGAGAATGCCCGAGGCGATGAGGGCCCCAAAGGCATTGGAGATGATGTTGCCGCAGTAGAGCACCGCGGTGCGCGTGCCGAGCTCGCTGCGTTTGTACCACTTCGATAGGAGAAAGAGAGCCCCGAGGAAGAAGGCGGCCTCGACGAAGCCGAGGAAGAACCGGGTCAGGAGCGCGCCGACGAAGCTGGCCATGGCAGAATTTGGGGAGATTAGTCGGGATGAGCGATTACGGACAATCTGTCGCTCTGGCTCACTTGTTGGTTATCCCTGCGCATCGTGTCAGATAGAGAGAATGAAGCAGGGCAAGAGGAGCTTACCTGTCAGGATTGAGATGGTGCCCCAAACCATCATGCATGCTGGGAGGTACAGTGACGGCTTTCCGATGTAGTTCAGCAACATGTTCCTGGAAAGGATGGTGTTCAAGGTGGACTTCAGGTACGTCGGGGGTTAGTGCACGCACGACGGTATTTGCATCAGGATATAGCCGACGTAGAGGATGGACAATAGTGTCGCAAACTCCGTCCCCTGGAGGTGCAGGTCGCGTTCGAAACCACGCATACGCGCAGCTCTTGAACGCAAGTCAGCAACCGATATTCGAATGCTAAGTGCGCGCAGAGCTCTCACCCCGCATTGTTGCGGTCGACCTGGGAGAATTATGAGTCGCGGGCGCAGTTAGAGTGTCGCAGTCAGACGTACATAGTTCAGGATGTATATGACGACCAGGATGGACATGCGCAAGTCAAGCTTGCGCAAGAGTCTTCGCTCGAGCTTTCTGCGTGCTTCATGCCCTCCAAACTCGGCGTCCGGGTCCTCGTCAGTTGGCTTGATGCCTACTTCGGGGTTCTTGTCCTCGTCCAGGGAAGAGGCTTTCGAGGATGCCATGGCTGCCAGTCAGTCAAGTCGCGGAACACCGGTGAAAAAAAGTGACAAGGCTGTCGCCATTCGTCAATCCAAACCATGGCTGCTTATGAATGGGAGGGAGGGAGGCCGATACTTGATATAGCGCGCGTGGGAGGTGATCACAAGGACAGAAGGATGGAGCAGGTGTTCCGGTGGGAAGGACAGTCCGTCGCAGCCGAAGTCGCACCGCGCCTCATATCAACGTCCCTGTAGGTCATTTGACTTGAGCTCATCTACGTAGCACACCACCAACGCGAAATGGGCTTGTTGCAGGATGAGGCGGTTGGACTGCCAAGACTTGCTCTGTGAAAAGCCATTACTGGTTTCGTGGGCATGTGCCATAGATGCAAACATGGGTACGGTGTCCAAGTCGGACGAGCTCATATCCGCGAGCACTACAGCCTTGGCTGCGGAAGAATCGCAACTTGTGAGGTAGTGCAGCTTGACGTCGACGTGCCAGTAACTTGCCATGAGTTAGGGCGGAACTGCCAGAGAAGTCGGATGTATGCGCCAGATGCTAGAGCATGCGTAACCACTCGTATCAAAGCTTCAGCATATACGTTCAGCATATAGGTGCTGTAGGTACTCACCAAGGGTTAGAGCAAGCACTGGGCGTCAGCGCGTGTCCGGCTGTGGGCACGCGCACGTGACAGACGCGAACGTTGTTTACGCGTTGCCCAACTCACGCTTAGGCGCCCGGACACGCTCCTATTCGCCGTCGTGTCCTCGGTCGGTGTCCTTGTTCCCGTCTGTCTTTCGTCCTTTGGACCATATGCTCTCCTGAATCTGCTGCAAACTACTGCGAATTGCAACCCGTATACGACAGATGGACGCTTCGAGGACCATGGACGACGACGAGACGGCGTTGGAGGTCGCGGAGCTTCACCTTTCGGTGCAAGAGCGCATTCACCTGGCCATCAGCCGCCTGCCGGTTCTGGCAAAGGACGATATACCCCTGGACGACTCGTGTCCTATCTGCATAAACCCCTTTGAAGCTGCTTTGGAGGGTAAGGCACACGAAGGATTGGGCGAGGCACCATCGGAGTCGGACGAACTGGCCGGGGTGACCAAGCTGGTCGGTTGTGGGCACATATTCTGCAGAGCTTGGTGCGTTGTCTCGCAGCACCTTTTCTTATTCCTTCTGTTTTGCTCATATGGACTAAAGTCTCGTTGAGTGGATTCGCGGACGAGTGAGTGCCTGATTGGTTTCATTCCGTCTTTCTCGGAAACGCTCATGTTCCCCGCAATGCAATCAGCACGGGACATGCCCTTCATGTAGGAACGTCTTCTCGAGCATCAAGCCGCCCTCGGACTCGGACGTCGAGTCCTCTGACGGCGACTACGTCCCGGGCGACGACGAGGACGAGGAGGATGACGATGTGTTCTTCGACACCGACTCGGAAGCTTTCATGGAGACCGACTCCGCGTTCGACGACATAGACGTCGAAGAGGACCTCGATCCCGACGCGGACATGGAGGAGGATGCCGATCTCGAAGATTGGGAGGCACAGGCGGGGAATGCAAGTGCGGAGAACTGGGGTTTAAGCGACGGAGACGGCTCGGACAGCCTCTCGGAGGTGGAGGCAATGGCAATGAGCGCAGAGCTCCCACCACAGGATGACGGTATGGTCTCATCGGTCTTTCTGGCTCCCGTTGTAATGTTGATGATATCCACAGGTGCCGGGGTCTACAGCGATAGTGGAGAACACCCTGGCGTCCTTCATGCTCCCCGGGACGAGTCCACCGAGCCGAAGTAACCAACTCGGTGCATCCGGCACATGCATCCATACTTTTCGCATTCATCGATATAGTTTTGTTGTACATTATGATGTAATCATGACTCCTATATCCTCTACATTACAGATACATTCCGCGGAACGTCTACACGCAAACACTCTAGAACTGGAGAGAATCGAGGATCCTCGCCACCGCCTCGCCCTCCTTCGTCTCCTTCCACACGCCAGTGAACTTCCCGCTCCATCGAGATCCCTTGCCGCCACCCTTGACGTTCAGCTTTGCCTTCATCTCGTCCCCGACCACCTTCACCTTCTTGTCATCCGACCCAAAGATTAGCACGACAGTCGTGCTCGTGCCTGTCTGCGCAGACGGTGATGACGATAGCACTAACAAGAACGGCACTCCCTCCTTGACCTTGGCCGAGAAAGCCGTCGTGATGGACGAGAGGAAGCCGAGCGCGTTCGTGTTGTCGTCTGTCCTATGTTTGTGCAGCACGATGCCTTCGCTCCCCTTTGGGGCCGTGGCCGCCAGCTCGGTGGCGACCGACGCGGCGAGCTCTGCCTCGAGGTCCTCGACGCGCTTCGTCGCCTTCTTGCGCTCATCGACCACCTGCTGTACGCGCTCGGGCACTGAGGGCGCACCGCAGCTCATGATGCCCGCCGTGGCGGTGAGGAGGGTGTGCGACGAGGTGAGATGGGCGAGGAGGCGCGGGCCGGAGAGGAAATACAGCCGGACGGAGCTGGCCGTGGAGCGCGAGAGCGTCTCAGTATGCGGGAGGACGAACAGCTGCAGGTTGTGCAACGTCGGTGCGTGTGTCCCACAGCATCTGCAGAGAAGGATGGATTAGTTCGTTAATGAGTCAGACGCAGGTGCTCGCGCGAGAGACAACGCACGGGTTGCGGTCAATACCGTCAATGACCACCGTTCGCTTGACACCTCCAGTGTAGTCTTGCGGAATGCCCACGCTCGGTCCGGTGTACGCATGGCTCTCGGCATCCAGCTCCTCCACCTCGACGTGCACGCTACGGCCTTCGAAGACGAGCTTGTTGCATTCCTCCTGGACGAACGCGATCTCTTCCGCCGAGAGTCCGCGCGGGATCTCAACATAACCAGGCGACGGATGCGATGTGATCGACCAAGCCAGCGTCGGAATGTCCAGCTTGTGCTCCAATACTGCCGAGAGCAGGTGCTGTGACGTGTGCATGCTCGCCTGTCCGCAAGCCACACGGATCAGCGTTGCCACAGGTA